GCCTGTTTTGTCGTCTTATTTTTGTTTTGTCGTCTTCTTCACAAATCTGATTTCTATGTTCCCGGCTTCGTATGCGATTGGCTGAATCCGTCCCGAGACTTCGCTGCGGTGGTTAACCATTCTGAAGGATGAGATCATAGCTTGTTAAAACAGAAGGATAAAAATGCTTCTTCTAGGTCAAAATAAATGACAGCTTTATTTTTTATTATTAATATAATGCTAATATACCGTATAAGCATAAGGAGCACTATTTCATTACTCCCTAAAAGTTGGCTCCAAAAATCAAGTGTCCACCGTGCTGCGTTATACCGTGCTACTAAATGACGGTAGAAGCTCAAAACCTCTTCAGAGTGAAGTCAGAGAGTCCATTGCCACATAAGATGAATGTGAAGTGTACACACACCAGATTTTAAAAATGCAATAGCACACAAATCTCTGTGCTGGCTGGTAACATTATTACCCTGTCACTGAGAGCCCATAATACAAAACACAGAGTCCACTGTACTGATGTCACCAGTGGTGATGTATGGGGCTGATTTCCTCGTTTGTGCACACGCCTCTGCTTTTTGTGGAAAATATTTGGCCAAAAACACAAAGTTTTTGCCTCATACAAAATCAGCTGCACTACATGGAAGTGTCACATCTGAAATTATATAATCAAAGAATATTCTTGCAACTAAACTTAACTTAGATGGCAAACACACTTCAGAAAAATGAGCGCATTAACACTCAGTGATTTTATCTAATCTTAAAGTTTTATTGTGAAAATGCTAACTATTTCTCTATAGAGACTATTATTATCATATAAATTAAGATTAACCCATTAACACCTAGCATATCATATTAGATACAAATAGTTTTTGTGAGTTTTTCAGGCTTCTACATCATCAGTGTGTTTTTTCCCCACCAAAAAAATCTAAATAAATTTCACAATATATTTTTAAGTAATAAATTGCAAAAAAAATGCCATATGTAGCAAATATGACACAAATTAAAACACATATGCAAATTAATATCTAGTTTGTTGTTTTAATTGTCAGAATATTCAATAAACACTCGATTTTTTTTTAACAAAGTTGAATTTTCTTGCAGTAATTTCATGGTTCAGGCTTTAAAGGGTTAATATTTTACAGTTGATCAAGGAAAATAATCAAGCAGCTGCTACAGAAACTCTTCCAGTCACGTATTTCACATTGACTTAAAGGGCAGAACAAAACCTGCTCTGTTTGACACAGCTGCCTCTCATATCTTCTTATGATAACACCCAGAGACACAGAAAGCTCTTGTCTATGAAATGTGTTATATTTCAGTCTGTCTAACCAAACGAGGAGGATGGGAGTTTGCATCCTGTGCCGCTGCAGTGGAAAGCGCACACCATACAGCCGAGCGCGTATAAGGTGCTCTTTGTCTGCCTCGATTATCCCAAAGACAGGAAGATAGTCACTGCAACTGAGTTTACATTGCACTGCAAGCTCCTTTGCTGCTCCTTATTCATTCATCTTTATGTCTATGCGATTAGTAATAGTGGGTGATGTACTTTTCATAATGAGAGACCCAAGTCAGTCAGTCCTCTGACAACCACCTCGCCGTGAGGCTGGACAGCTGTGGATGTGACCCCAGACGTTTGTGGCCTATTACATCACACAGACGTAAAACAGAAGGAGATGACATCTGACAATATAAAAGATATAACTGTGTAATGAAGAGTTGTTTGAAAATATGTAGTTCTGTTAAGAACCAGAAAACACTACGAGGTCCTTCAAAAGACAAAATAAGACAAGGCTGTCCGTTAACTTCATCTTGTCAAAGCTGCTGGGATGGTGAATGTACTTACAAGCTATCCTTTAGTGTTGACCCTTGAAGCATCAGGCCAGGGTATCGGTATCATGTGTGTCAAAACCAGAATACCTTCCTAACTGCCACATGTACTTTTTCAGAGCCCAAATCTAAGTAGCAAGGTGAAGCAAAAACAAAATCCGCGAGTTAAAAATGGAGAACAGAATGCAAAACACAAATGTCCTGGTGGGACACAAATCATGGATCACAAACCTGCAACTCGTGCCATCCTGTGTATGCTCATGAGGCAGACTCTGTAGGGACGGTTACTTCTTGGTAGCAAGAATGCCTCAAATATAAGATAAATAAAGGATGTCTCATCTTATATATCTGCAGCTAGAGCAACAACCCACGGATGCTAAAGACCCGTAATGTGTCTAATGAGGAGATGCAGGAGGAATCTGAGAAAACAGCGTTATATTTGCTCAAAAAATCAAGGTTACAGCAAAAAGACTGAAAGCATAGAGAAATAATACTGTAACAAATAAAAGGCATATAAAAAATAGTGTTGTTGCCCTACAGTGTTTCTGCAGAAAAGAGTCAGAAATGGGCAGACTAGCAGTTTTTGGGCTAATGCAATCTCACCAACCGGTAGCTCCAGCTTCATTTTTTGCAGCACATATCTGTGCAAACTTTTCATGTCAGGAAAAAGAAAACAAATGCATTTCTTGAATAAAATACTCACATTTAAGGCAACTTTCAAACAGGTTATATAGTTATAGCAATAGCTGGTAAGAGCTACAACTTCAGGCACAACTAGTCTTTGAAGTTTGAGCTGTGATGAATTTCAGATTGATCACATTATGAACGATGAGTGACGACGTGCTTCCACATTTCCATACGGAGTTGTTAGTGAGTGTCAGAAACTCCTGCAAGGACTCTTATTTATAATTTCTAATCACTTTGATCCAAAAAGAACTGTCGCAAAGTCTAAAGAGGGTCAGCTATTCAAATTCTTCCTCCTTCGTGGTTGTAGGCTGAGCAGACGTTAGTGCACACGCTCATCTGCAGAACCATGAAGGAGGTCTTTCAACACGTGCAACCAGTGTGTCGCTCTCAATCAGGTGTGATCTTTCAATCCTGCAGAAAACTTTGAATGCAAAAAACTGAAAACACATCTATGATGGGAACTAATGATTTGCTATGATGTGCTAAAACAATAAAACTAATAATAATACGACACATCAGTGCTTTATGATACTGAGAGAGTGTAATGGCAAATGATCAGAGCTGCTGAACCACATTTGAAATACGTGGTCTCATATTTCTACAGAATTTCTCTGGCAGTACTGCAGGTCTTCTCCAGCCTTCACTCTTTCACACTGAGCAAACAGCTGATGTGCACTTTATCGTTTTAGTGTTTAGTTTCCAAATCTAAATAATAGGAAGGGACCAATCTGTACTTCCTGTCTCACCTCAGCTCCCCTACACTTCCACTTCCTCAAATCCTGCTCCTCCCCTTCTTTCAGCTTTCCTTTCTCTTCCTCATCATCCTCATCACTCCTCAACCCTTCCTTTCTCCTGCTGTCCATCACAGATGCCACAAAGTCAGAGACAGCCCTCTGAAACAGTAAAAATCACTCAGCTAGCATGAAGCCACAGGCAAAATGAAATATTTTCTATTTCAAAAGTTTATTTAAGTGAACAAAACCACATTAATACCAGGTTTAAAGAGCCTCGGCCCACCACAAATACACACCCACACTGCTCTCACGAAACAGCAGTACCACACAGTACCACACCTTTATGCATATACAAATCTCTATTACACACACACACATTCATCTGTTAACCAAGATGAATGCCTCTTGGCTCGGAGCAGAAAGCTATTTGTGAGTCGACACAGATGCTGACCAGCAGTAAGTTATGCAGGTCACAGTGACATACAGCACAGCGCATGCTTTTCGGTGCTTTTAAGATCGTCTGAACAATGCTGACACTTCAGTGATTATTTCTGCGTGGTTTCTAATTGGTGTCTGGCAGACAGGAATATAAGAAGCCGTGGGAAAACGTGATAATACTCGACCCAGGATGAGAACAAAGACAAGAGCTGGCGCCAAAACCCCACTGGTTTTACAACTTTGCAAAAATTATCAGCACGTAAAATTTAGGAGCAAAGACGTCTTTCACTAACAGTATTTCTATTAACTATCTTTTTGGCTGGTAAACCGCACTCAATACACTTCTAAGGCATTCTTAAGTTACACTGCTTTCAAAAACTTAATTTAAATCAATTCAATTTTATTTATATAACACTAAAATCACAACAACAGTTGCTTCAAGGTCTTTGTACTGTAAGTTAAAGACCCTACAATAATAAATTGATCTATATTTATTGTTCCTACATCCTTTTAGGAATTAAAACCCATGTTCGACCTTTAAAGCTATGCTTGTGTTTTGTTTCAAGGTTCTGTAAGATTATTCTCATTTATCAAACACTCAGAGGCTGTAAATTTTATCACAGTGCACTAGCATGAGCGAGTCAAAAAAACAGAGCAGTTGCAATAAAAAGTGCCCATTACAGTATGCTGAGCATGGCTGTCAGTGAAGCAAACTAACAAATGGTGGAATGGCTTTAAACAGACATGTGCCTAAACATATGTGTGTAACCACCTGAAACAGATCTAACCTGTAAACAACAATCAGCCAACAATCATCTTCTCCAAATATCCATCCTTTCTCTTCTGCTTATCAGGGTCGCGGGGTGGGGGGGGGTAACATCTGTATTAATGTCAAGGCAACAATGCTTTTGAATATTTTGATCTGCAACACAGACAACCCCCACTGAAAAAAAACACCAGTCTGAAGTACAGTGATCAGATCAATGGTTGCTGAGTTAGGCAAAGAACAGACGGCGATCATTTGACTAATAAGTGATATGAGATGATCAGTGTTGCTCACCGGCTTTAATGCTGTGGCTGATCAATGGTTTAAATGAATGTTCTTACCTACTCAGTAGTAGATGCACTTCCATTTGGAACAATACTTCTAGTGCTATAAATTATAGTTAGGGATGGGTACCGGTATCCGGTGCCATGATGGCACCGGTTCTGACATAAACGGTAGTAACCAGACCGAAAAGCAGCGCACATTTCGGTGCTTTTTTTTCCTGAGCTGT